ATAAAAAGTTGACTCTTGCTGAATACAAAATAATCATCATTGTTATATTAATTTTCGAATTACTAACTTTCTCCAAAATAGAAACCTAACTTTCTGCATCGATATCCAAAGTCGGTCGTCGTAAAGCAGTAACAATTGTCATTGTTCCAAATCCAAACCTCGATATCAACTGCACATGTCCACCACAATCCGAAGCTGTCCGTCCAATAACAAAATCCATTTACATGACCAGTGGACTTTCATCTCATGATTCTTTCATCTCATAATCAGGATCCATCCCCAAGCCGTAAAAGCAGATACCCGAGTCAGAGTGCCCCCGGGTTCGATAATCTGATTTGCCAACCTCACTCCATACTTCAAAATCTCCACTTATGTTTGCTTTTATTCATTAAAATACATTGTTCCATCCTGAATCATCTCCATCTACATTAGAAATGCTCCCCTACCCACGGTAGGCACATGTTAATATGCCCACCGCGTAGGTGGCATCCACTCATTGGTGATGTTAATATGTTTAGAAAAAACACATCACCATTGAGTGCATGCCACCTACGCGGTGGGCATATTAACATGTGCCCACCGTGGGTAGGTGAGCATTTCTCCCATCTACATTAACTTTGTTTTCTGTCAACTTCTGGTTTATTTTGTGATGGGTAGTATCTTACCATTAACTAACCCTGTTTATCCTTTTAGTTTGTTTATGAATGAGTATCTACCTACATTATTAGTAATGTTTGCCAATTTCCTATGCAGGTATGGCTGACTTTGAAAGTATATTGTAATCACAACAAAATCATAGAGAAAAAGACTACTAGTAAAGCACTCTCCCTATATGGTGTACTTGTCAAGTAACGTATAACATGCTAGATGTCTCATGCTAACATTACTGTATATTGGAAATTTTTCCAACTGAAATGAAAAAGTGTGTTGGCCTTCATATCGAATCGTTTCTCTCTTAGATGGGTTCTCGTCCGGTTGTTGATGTGTTCTATAGTCCAGTAAAGCCCGATGGGTTCTTCCTTGTCAGTGCAAGCAAGGGTAAGATTTTTTCTTTTGCTTTTAGTTATTGTTATCTTGCTGATCCACATTATTATCAATGGCATTGTTTATTTCATTGATCTTGTTATATTGATGATCCACATTATTATCCTTCTTGGTTTGCTTCATAAATACATAATGCTAGTACCTTAGGTAGTAATTTTTCTTGATTGATAGGAGTTATGATGCATAGGCACTTATATGGTCCAGTATATAACACAATCACA